GCATTAAATCCAACGAACCGAAATTTAAAAATTCGACAAAGTTTCGAATTATTATCAACGCGTTTTAAATAATACACAAATGTAACTGACTCATAAATACCCTTCCATTAAAAATATATCTTTAGTTGATATATTTTGAAAGCATTCATATTATATTTAACATTAAAAATAATACCTTATTTGAAAATATTGTCGATTGCATTCAAGCTGTATAAATTGGAATCCATATCTAAATTCCCAAAGAGCAACCAAAATAGTTTTATATGCGTTATCGATGTGAAAGGAGAATATTTGTATGAGCAATGTTAATCGCCGTTATTTCAGCATGTATATATTAATATGTTTGCGAGCTTTAATTTAGTTTTCAACACATGATCAATATCAAGCAATCAGTAAAGAAATATCCATGGTGTAAGTGAAGCATTTCATATTCCATAAAAATACGATTAAGTCTAACAAAAATAGGGAAATTGAATTTAGCCGACTGCTCAAAACTGCTAACTTTAGATGAAACCAAAGGTGTGATGATTCATTCCTGATATGTTCTTGTAGTATCTATAAAAGTGTGGATATATTGATATAGTAGCTCTAGCAATTATCTCAAGAAAATTAAAGACTAGATGAAATCGGAACATTCCCCCATTGGCCTTTTTCATCCGTAGTCTTAGATTTCATATATCAACCCGATCTACTAAAGCATGGTGAATGGTGAAGGGTGGATGGAGATTGAGCCTGGGAAGTATGTGTCCTCGAAGTGCTGTGAATTAACAAATGGCAGGAGTAAGCGTTGGGTTTGAAAGCCCAACTGAGTGGAACAAATAGAAAATCGACATTTTTGCCAGTTCTTATGAAGGGAAGCATTAAATAGGTAATTTTTTTTGTTAGTATAGAAACAAAAGCCAGTATGTGTACTTTAGTCAGACGCTCCCGACATAGAAAATCAGCCCATTTTTATTAAAGATTGGTTTTCAATTTTTCGATGATTATTAAAATATAATTATAATGTGAAATCCCAATTTGCCCACCTTGATGCCAACCTAGCTGCTAGCTAGAAACCAAAAATATACAGAACTGTAATTTTCTAAAGGGCTAAGGGCTTGAAAAGTGTTGTAGTTAGGTGTAACTGGACATAACTTATCTGCGTTTTTTATACTAAATAGAACGCAACTGTGCTTCGACGTTATAACAAATTTGCAAAGCGTTATTATCTCTTGCAGCTCCAATCAGTTTTTGGCCCTTAAAAAATCTTGCACTCTTAAAAAATTCGATTGCTCGCTGCCTTCTCTTTGTGATATTGGCAATCAGCGTCAATCGCTAATATGTGAAAATATGTGCATTCCTGATAGCAACAGTAAATGAATATATATGAATATATACAGACGAAATAAGTCACTCTAACCCTGTCCCCTGCCCTGGTTGGACACTTCCGTCAAAAGTCTTCTGTATGTTTTAGGATCTGTTGTTGTTGTAATCATATATCACTTGCAAATCACTGTTCTTAGCATAACTATGAAATTCGTCAACCGCGTGCCTTCATATAATGACTTTAAAAAAGGCAACCCTTAAAGCAAATGAGGTACAATAACTCAGTAATAATACAAGTAAAACCATAATTGCATGTTTTCACACGAGAATCGATATAGAATCGTCTTGTCCCTTTGAGGGTTGTTCATCACAAAGGTCGCGGTGATCTACACTATTTGTTTGAGCTAAGAAAATCACTTAACTAAGATCACGCTGATTTTCACCACATGCTGTGACTCAGACTGTTCCTATGCCCAGCTACAAAGATCTAAATTTTCGATTTGTAAAAAGAAAACAAAGCAAAACAAAACAACAAATCACAATAAACAGAAGCTGGGCTAAGGCAACTCAAGGCATATACATATACAACCACGTTGAAGGAACAAGAAAATCCAGAGTTGATGTCTTTAAATTGTAAAAAAAAAAAAAAAAAAAAAAAGCTTCCAAACGGAAACAACTGAACTCAAAATTTGAGTACATGCTAATTCATTCAATGTGCGAATGTGGCCCACCGAGTCTTAACCACAAAGTTTACTTGTGGACTTAAACATAGAAATCTGTGAGTTAGCGGTGAGTTGCCCTTATGATTGCTCTTTATTGTTGTGGGTGTTGGTATATGGTTTGCCAATAACCAAACAACAAAACATAATCAAATATTCGAATTGCGAATATTCCTGCATTTAAGTTTTCTCCTCTATATATACATGGAAATGCATACCGCATACTATCATTTTTATGTTTATTGTACTCTTAAAATATTGTAAAATACCATTCACAAAATCATGTAGTTATAACAAAGAGTGAAATAAATTGAAATTGAAATTGAAAAAAAATTATGTTGATTGTGACTCTTTTTCGTTAGCCCCATAATTTCCACATTGTTATCGAACATGATTTTCTCTTTTATACAATGCTGGATACAGCTACTACGTTCGTCGTAATAATTGGGAATAGACAGACTCGCTGCTATTAATAGCCCAATGTGAATGCGATAAAAGGGAAAGGTTCATGTATTTGCTTATCTTCGCTGTGTACGTAGCTTAACTCACTTAACGAAAGGCGGCGAGCTTTACTCACTGAACGAAATTTCGATAGGTGAGTACAGTGATGAAAATCAAGTTAGCAAACGAATTTAACTTGACACTACCGTACTATTCTGCAGCTAAATTTCTTAAAAACAAATTAGTATCCTTTGTTTTGTCGATACTTCAAGCTAACTTATTTATTTATTTATATATTGAGTTTGAAATATATATATATATATATATATATATATATATATATATATATATATATATATAAAGTTCTTTCACGCGTTACTACCTAACTCAACTCAATATATATAAGAAATTATATTTATACTTGGTCAGGTTTTTGTCACAAACTTATAGATAGCAAATTGTATCTCTTTGGCCGAAGTAACAGAAGGAGCAGAAGCTGTTGAAACCAGTTAGGACATCAAGAAAAACTAACGTTCCGCAAAATGAATAATAGGAAGCCGAAACTCAGCAATTGTTTTTCTCTTTTTTCATATCACATCCAACACTTTCTCATAAGCTTTGTATCTCCAATATATTTTGTGAAATAATAAATATTTACAACTTCCTCATTTATTCATAAAGTATACAAATATCATATCATAATAAGAAACAATACCGTCTGAAAATTTTGTAATTTCAATACTCCGTTTGATGCCCAAACATAGTGCGTATTCGGATTTAGGTCAACTGAAGTAGAGTATTTATAATTCGATAGATGACTCAATAATTGACTGACGTGGCTGACAACTAAGAGTGCATAAGAATATTAAAGTCGACTTGAGGATACCATTTAAAAATTTATATCAATTTTCACTTTTATAAAAAAATATATTTCAGGTGCTCAACTGCTACAAAGTGTAGACATACTTTAAAACATATGAATATATATAAATAAATTAAAAGACTATCTATGTGTCGGGAGCCATTTGAAGCAGAGCAACGGGTATAGGGTATACAAAAGCAGGGCCGGAATCGGGGTCCTTCATGAGAGCGCAATGTTTTATCATAGTATCATAGTATATAGTATATAGTTTATCTGAATATTAACATATATTTTATTTGATTTGGAACAAATATATAATTAAGCATCCAAGACTTATTTACCAACAGTGCGTGCTAGATTGAAATTTAAATAAGCACGTATATTAGACTATGAATAATGTGCAAAGCATTGACGCTGCACACCCACACACTGAAATGGGACCTGGTGCCCTAACCGAACGTAGCGCACACTCATCCTCAACACAACAGCTTCTTGTTTATGTCTGTGAATGTCGATGCGGATCTGTCAGTTAGTTATATGGCACGGTCAGGCTCTGTTGTATATCGCTGTACTCATTGGCGTTGCTGTTGCCGCTGCCGTAGCGGTTGCCATATCTGCCGATCCCTGTTTTATTAATAAATTTATTATTATTACTTTTTTAAAGCTGTGTGCGCGCTGCAAGTGAAATAATTGACACATGTGCTAATATTTTTATTACATATTGTTTTATAAAATTATAAAAAAAAACAAGTGTATGTCTGTGCACGTATGTACAATGCATGAATAAATAAAAATATTTGCGATCATATGAGTGAATATGTAGACATGCAGCCATTTAGATATATGTATGCTGAGAAATATGCACACAAACATACATATGTACACATATTCATGAATGTGCCTACATACATGTACATATACTAGTATGTATGTATGTATAAAACCGTACGTACCTACATATGTTTCTAAAAAGTACGTTCACAGAAGTGTTCAAAATAGATTTCGAGTACATACCCACAAACATGCGTGTTTATACACACATAAACATACATGTGTGTGTAAAATTTTGGGTATATATATATATCGATAACAAACTTTTGTATATATATATATATATATATATATATATATATATATATATATATATATATATAAATTTTCATATACAAATGTTTGTTATCGAAATTCTTATATGTATATACATACATATGTACATATGCTGGTTATGTGCGCTTTGAGATACGTAGTTAATATGTAGCTCATATGTACATATGTATTTACATGTATATAAATGTTTGTGTCTATACATACATATGCACATATAAATAAAAAACACAAATGTATGTACATGCACACATATATCTGAATGCATCAAAAGGAATAACTGCACTTTCAACACTGACCTGAAGTTCAAGAACACAAAAATTGATTATGATGTTTATAAATGATTTTAATTGAATATAATAGAGTAAGAGTGATCCATCAAGAGCTTCTGAGTGAGATTCACATGAATATGAACCGTTTATGCACACCGTGAACGTCACACGCACAGCACAAACATATACCAAAAGACTGACGAATGAATGCAAACAAATGTATATTGGTATGTACATATATGTCTGTGTGTATATGCACATCTATATTTGTACAGGCATATATTAATTAATACAAAGATATATGTATGTATCTACGTATGCACATAAACCAACACTCGGTAAAGATTAAACAGAATAAACAAACTCGAAAAACTACAGCACAAAACGAAAGAGCTCGGAACTGAGCGTGAATAGAATTGTGAGTGTATTCCGAAAGCAGATTTATTAGCACATAATGTATTAAATTCGAGAATAAATAAAATAAGTCATACATCTCTGCCGGCTTTATAACATTTGATGGGTAAATTTTATTATTAATTATATATATTTATTATATTTATAACAATGCATTTGGCTTGAGAGCTTTGAATCGAAAAGTCGCGCCAGTTACATTTACAAAAATTCATATGTATTTATGTATATTCATACACACAGTACATGTATATGTATTAATGCATACTTATCCATGTATGTATGTATATACATACATATCTTGAAGAGGAAAATAATAATAAATATAAAGGAATATGATGGGATTGAAACTGTTAAGTGATTGTGGGTGTTGATTGTAAAACTTGGATAAGACATCTGGTGAGTGTACTTGACCGAACAAATATGTGTATATTTAATAATAATATACACAAAAAATAATATAAATACATATATTGGGCTATTTAGGGGCGTGTCTGATTGAAAATTTTGGTGGATTGTGATTCATTGTTAGGGTGACCATCCGTCCTGGGATTCCGGGATATGTCCCGCATTTGGGGGTAATGTCCCGGTGTCCCGACCTGACACGAAATTGTCCCGGTTTTCAATTGTTTCGATAAAAAAAAATCGTCATTTTGACAAAATGCAAACTTGAAGAAGTTTGTGTAGAGACAAGTCAAGAATTTTGTTTATAAAAACACTGCAGTTAAGGTAGTACAGTTTTTTGAAACAATCGTACATTCGTGCTATTACTCGGAAGTATTGAAAATAGCTCAAATCCTGCATGCAATTGCAGCGCACAATGCGCAAGTTTCGAAAGGGTTTTTTCTTACTAAATACAAAGTGGTCAGACGACACAAATAAGTTACTAGTGGAAAATGTTAAAAACATCCATATAGCTCAATTTAATTTTGTGGACATAAAAACATTGAATATTGATGAAAGAAATGTTATGTAAATACCTTCTGAAAAATAGGCAATGTGGAGAAGTATAAGTCAAGCAATCATGAATATAATAATATAAGGATGAATATAATTAAATATAAGGATGTATTCATATATATGGATGGTCTTCTTGTGGAATTAGTCCCAAGATAATGTAATTATGCTAAATATGAAAAAAATAAAAGTTGAATTTATGTAAGAATCTTTGTGAGAAATGATTTACTTAAAATGTTTTTTTTTTTTTTCAGAGAGAATGAGAGAGTGATAAATGGGTGGGTAGTTCTTGACAGTCCCGAAATGGGCTCCGGCCCAGATGGTCACCATAGTCATTGTAAAACAAGTAAGAAGACTCTAGTCGAGACTGCTCGACTAGGAGATACCCTGAACCCTCTAATCTGACATTCTAATCAATCTGCACTTCTTTTCGACACACATACATACACACGCACGTATTAGAACGCGCTCTGCTAACTGCGCTTTGGCTGCGCTGTAGTGTGGGTAACATTATAAGAATTTATTTGTTGAATAATTTAATTTCTAGACGTACAATCTTAAGGAAAGTTTCAGGGCGTAATTATATGGTGAAAATGTATGTACATTCCAAAGCACACGTCTCTAGTACTTGAAATACGCCTTTTACAAAGGTGAAGGTGAGGGGGTGGATATAGGGGTGGGGGGTAAATTACAACAAAAATCGAAATTATATAAAATACATATAAGTCTACATATAAAATTTGCAAGCTCTAGCTCTAAAGGTGTAGGAGATATAATTAAATAACTAGCTTTCGATAAGGTTTTTGATCGATAATAAAATATCGGGAGTAGTTATCGATATGTAAGGAAAAACTTGATATGCGCGTGATATACGCAGACCTAGGAACAAATTTCAAGTCTCTAGCTCTTATATCTTCTGAGATCGACGCGTTCATACATACGGACGGACGGACTCAGCTCGTCGCCCTGATCAAGAATATATATACTTTGTGGGGTCTGCCACGCCTCCTTCTGCCTGTTACATACTTTTAACAAAACCATTATACCCTGATTTCCCATTGAAAATGGGTTCAGGGTGTAAAAAGCTCTAGTCGAGACTGCCCGACTACGAGATCCCCTGAACCCTTCGAGTGATAGCTATTTCAATCATTTTTCGCGTCTTACTGCTTACACAAGACACACACACACACACACACACACGCATACACACAAGCATACACACAGAGATACGCACGCACGCATAAACACGCATTGGCTGCAGTGGTGGCATACTATAGGAACTTAATTGTTAAATAACTTTTATTGTGGATGTACTTTCTTCATGAAACTTTCAGATTATGATTATAACATAGATATGCATGTATTTGCCACAGCACAAGTCCCTAGTATTTGAAATACGCCTTTTACAAATGTGAGAGTGAGGGGACGAATTAGGGGTGGGGGTGAATTTTGACAAAAACCGAAATTGTATAAAATGCATATAAGTATACATAAAATTTGAAGAAGATATAAATTTATTACTGGTTTTCGATAACGTTTTAATCGATAACAAAATAACGGAGTAAGTTATCGACATTTAAAGCAAAACTCGATATGCGCGTGCTATACACGGACCTAGGAAAAAAATTTCAAGTCTTTAGCTCGTATATCTTCTGAGATCGACGCGTTCAAACATACGGACAGACGGACAGACGGACGGACGGACAGACGGACAGAGCTAAATCGACTCAGCTCAGCCCTGATCTGAATATATATACTTTTTGGGATCTGCCACGCCTCCTTCTGCCTGTTACATACATTTAACAAAACCATTGAAAATGGGTTCAATCTATCTTTGCATTTAAACTGGCAACTCATAGTCAGATTATTGCTAAATAAAACTAATGTAATTGTATAACCTGAACTGAACTGAAATTCGAAATCAGGTAATAATGTGTTATACTGCTTTGTGAAAAGTATGTAAATGGCAGTATATATATTCTTGATCAGGGCGACTAGCTTAATCGATATAACCTGTCTGTCTGTCCATCAGTTCGTCCGTATGAACGCCGAGATCTCTGAAGATATACGAACTAGAGAAATTTTGCATGTATACTCGTGTATACCATAAGCAGTACAACTTCGATAACTCATTCGATTTCTTTTTATCGAGAATGATCGATAAATTGATATTGTCTTTTCAGCCAAATTTGAACACTTTTAGACCTACAGATTTCAGATTTAGTGTATATACATTTGATGAATACAAAGATTTTGTAATTTACAGATTTTGGATACCACGGATCCTTCGCCCCAAATTTGTAAAAAACGTATTTCAGATACTAGAACAATATGATCACGTTCTGAAATTTTCATGAAGACAGTCTTACTACAAGAGAAGTTAACAAGTAAATTCTCACAGAGCACTTTCTTATACGGGCGTGTAGATATATCTGTGCATAAAAGATGTACAGATTAGAATATCAGCTTGAGGGGTTCAGGGTAGTGTCAACTAGAACCGTCTTACTTGTTAAATCTAAGGACCAGGAAAGGGTTTATATTATATTGTCTAATATACAATCGAATCACTTTTTTCTTTTTTAAGGAAAATACTCCAGAATTGAGTCTTTGAAACGATTATTAAGCCATGACGTCAGTAAAGGAAACTACAAGGTTAGCCGTAAATCGACGAGGTCAAACAGACAATGGGAAAACAATTGATCGTTTAACTATCATTGATGAATCCGATTGCGATTTTGATTCCGAATATGATTCCGATTGCACAAACTTCTTTCTTAATATGTCTTTAAAAAAGTCTTGCCAATGCCACAGCGCTATGAAACGACAACAGATGATGATGATTATGAGGAACAATAGGAGCTGGCAGTTTCGATTGGTAGTCACCCGATATGCGTCTAAAGTTTTACTATCGATTTTATTATCGATCGTTATTCTAGCATCTGCCCAGGAAGTAACGAGAGACACAGAAAAATTGCTTGGATCAAACAGCACAGAAAGCCATCGAAATCAAACACATACAACTGCTATTGACACTCCTATTATAAAGGAACACAGCCAAAGCCAGAACCAAAGGCAGTCGGATCAGCTCCTAGGTCAAATGCCAGCAAGCATACAAGGATTTAGCGTAAACAGAAATAGTTTGATTAGTGGAGATTCTGTGCTGCAACGTCAGCTGAGGGAGAAAGCGAAACAGGATAGCTTGGAATCAATTAAAATGCATATTTTGATGCGACTGAACTTAAAGAAATTGCCCAATATAACAAAACCAATAAATGTACCTCAGAACATATTGGAGAATTTTTACAAAAACTATAACTCCTCGCTTTTGAACTCGATGTGGGGTCAAAAGAGTAAGCCAAACGGTGCTGCTATTCCTGCTCCAAACAAGCCTGGATCTGCTCTGTATATGCATGAAGATACTGTGACAGACTCTGTGAATGTTACGCAAAACATTAAACAGAGCTCTAATAATAATTCTAAATATGAGGCGTCCAATAGAAATACGTCTTTGGAAATGCAGGGTGACGATCCTAATAATTTTAAAGATTTTCAGTACATCTATAATATTGAAATTGATAAGCATCAAACGGGTACAATGCATAAGGCCACTGAATTTACAATTAACGACGATGATATTGAATATGAAAGCATACTTTCTCATATAAACCGTGTTTATATATTTCCAGAACGTGAGTTAAATACTATTACTATTTGTAATAAATTGTGGTAAAATTTTTTAGTAATAACAATTGCTGACAAACTAAATTTAACTTGCTTTATATATATGATGTTGAAATATTAATATTAATATGATTTCATTAGACATTAATTAAAGAAGTAAAATGATACAGTCCATAATGCCAGTCTGTACAATGCTCTTTCGCGGTCCAAAATGCACTGCATTTTTATACCCTGAACCCATTTTCAATAGGAAACCAGAGTATAATGGTTTTGTTGAAATGTATGTAACAGGCAGAAGGAGGCGTGGCAGACTCCACAAAGTATATAGTATATTCTTGATCAGGGCGACGAGGTGAGTTGATTTAGCCCTGTCCGTATGTCTCTCCGTCCGTCTGTTACGGTGTATGCGTGTGTGTGTGTGTGTGCGTGTGTCTTGTGTAAGCAGAAAGACGCGAAAAATGATTGAAATAGCTTTTGCTCGAAGGGTTCAGACGATCCCGTAGTCGAGCAGTCTCGACTAGAGCTTTCTTACTTGTTATACCCTGAACCCATTCAAAATGGGAAATCAGGGTATAATGGTTTTGTTGAAATGTATATAACAGGAAGAAGGAGGCGTGATCAGGGCGATGAGCTGAGTCGATTTGGCCCTGTCCGTCTGCTGTATGTCCGTATGTTTGAACGCGTTGATTTCAGAAGATATAATTTATCACAAAAAATCTATAACTCATCCCGTTATTTTTTATCGATAAAAAACATGATCGAAAATCAGTAATAAAATTATATCTCCTACACCTTTTAAGCTAGAGTCTCCAAATGTTCAATGTAGATTTATATGCATTTTATACAATTTCGTTTGTTTTTATTAAAATTTACCCCCCACCCCTGTATCCACCCCCTCATTCACATATTTGTAAAAGACGTATTTCAAATACTAGAGACTTGTGCTTCGGCAATGCATGCATATCCATGTTATAATCATACTCTGAAAGTTTCATGAAGAAAGTACATCCACAATAAAAGTTATTAAGCAATTAAGTTCTTATAGTAAGCGCACACTGCAGCCTATGCATGTTAATGCGTGCGTACGTATGTCTGTGTGTGTGCGTGTATGTATGCATATGCGAATAATTATTGAAATATCAGTTGCTCAAATGGTTCAGGGGATCTCGTAGTCGAGCACTCTCGACTAGAGCTTTTTTACTTGTTTTACATTGCTTTTTATTTATTTTTTCTTTTTTAGAGCCCCATGTACGACATAATCGGAAAACAGATGTCTTACGCTTTAAATTCGAATCAGGATCCTCAGATATTTCTTATGTGACACTTCACTTGTATTTGCGTGGATTGGAATGGATCAGTATCTATCAACCGAAAATGCTTGAAGAATTGTCCGATTTTCAGAATAAGGAGATTGTCGTAGCCTTGCATCGGGCCATACGTCGAGCAAATAACACAAATTATACGCATAAGGCAAAAATCTTCGAGTTCCGACATAAAATTCCAACTGGATTGGGTCAATGGGTCAACGTGGATTTGAAACCCTTAATAGGTACAGGAGCCGCAATAGATCCCAGTCAAACCCAGGAGATTTTTATAAAAGGTGTCGAGCCATGGATGCGGCCCTTGGTTGTCACGACAGATAGTACTGCAAAAAATCCATTGGTATATATATACAAATCTATATATTCAATAATCAAAAGATATTCGAAACATTTCTTTATATTCAGATTTATTCTCACTGCTCCATTGTTCACGATAGATCTAAATGAATTAGATGAGAATTTAATTGCATTAGATATAAATTTTTTTGAGCCACTTACCTTCCAATGCTTCGTTCAAATCATCAGGGTATAATGGTTTTGTTGAAATGTATGTAACAGGCAGAAGGAGACGTGGCAGACCCCACAAAGTATATATATTCTTGATCAGGGCGACGAGCTGAGTCGATTTGGCCCTGTCCGTCTGTCTGTATGTATGAACGCGTTGATTTCAGAAGATATAAGAGCTAGAGACTTCAAATTTTTTTCTAGGTCTGTGTATACCACGCACATATTGCTTTTAATATCGATAACTTTCCCCGTTATTTTATTATCGATTAAAAACATTATCGAAAATCAGTTTTAAAAAATCAGTTTAAATACCTACATCTTTAAAGATAGAGTCACCAAATTTGTAATGTGGATTTATATGTACTTTATGGAATTTCGATTTTTGTCTAAATTTACCTCTACCTCTAGTTCACCCCCTCATCTTCACATTTATAAGAAGCGTATTTCAAATACTAGGGACTTGTGCTTTGGCAAATATATGCATATGTTATATTCATTATCTGAAAGTTTCATGAACACAGTCCATCCATAATAAAAGTTGTTAAACAAATAACTTCCCATAGTAAGCCACCATTGCAGCCAATGCGTGTTTATGCGTGGCTGTGTGTGCTCGTGTGTGTGAATAATTATTGAAATATCAGTTGCTCGAAGGGTTCAGGGGATCTCGTAGTCGAGCAGTCTCGACTGGAGCTTTCTTACTTGTTTTTTTTATAAGAAGTACATTGATCTTTAACATTTTCTTTCTTTACAGACCGTGCATATTGAAATTGGCTCCCGCAAAAAACATCGAAGAAAACGAAGCGTTTATCTCGATTGCACCGAGAACGATCACGATATGCGCTGCTGTCGATATCCTTTAAAGGTTAACTTTACCAGCTTCGGATGGCACTTTGTTGTGGCACCCACATCATTCGATGCATACTTTTGCAGCGGTGACTGCAGGGTTGGGTATTTGGAGCAGTATCCACACACGCATTTAGCAGCGCTGACTACGTCGGCGACGCCATGTTGTTCGCCAACGAAAATGAGTTCCTTAAGCTTGCTGTATTTTGACGAAAATCACCAACTTGTGTTGAGTGTAATACCAAATATGTCCGTAGAGGGATGCAGCTGTTCCTAGCAGACAATATCAATTTACATATGTATATGTACATGTATGCTAATATTATATGAACGATTAATTTTACGTATTGCGTTTAGGTATAAATAAAATAGAATAATCTAATGCACATAATAAATGCAGTGGAGTCCGGTTATAGCGACATTCAAGGGACCGACGATTTTACGTCGCTATACCCGGAGGACGCTTTAACCAGAAGGAGCAAAAAAATATTTCTTTCATTTTTTTACCGTTGCCATGTTCGTAAAGGCGTTTGACACAAAGAAAATTATATTTGTAATCAAACAACAATTTTTTATATATATATTATACATATTATTACAATAACATGCTATCGAAACATTTATGTGACGTCGGCATTGCAGCTTGTGTCTCTCTCTCTCTCTCTCTCTCTCTCTCTGTCTTAGCAGCATTTGTGTCGCTGCTACGTACACACTGATAAATAGAAACATATACATATGTATGTATATATTTCTAACAGCATATTTTAATGCTTAAATTTGTTGTCATTATTTCGCATTTTTTTTTCGACACGTCGTCAAAAATGTGAAAAAAAAAAATCGTCGGGATAAGCGGATTGTCATTAAAAGCGAAGACCTACTAAGCGGAGGCTCTTTCATATATGTTTTTATGGGGACCAACCAAGACATCGAATTTTCGTCGACATATGTAACCGGTTGGACGCTTTAAGTGGAGTCGTTATAACCGGATTCCACTGTATATAAATACTCGAATATGAACATACATACATATTTGCACATAAACTTTGAAGTACCTGTAGTAATGTTTGTTTTTGTTTGAGTAGGGCATGAATGAATTTGTCATTTACATAAATCTAGTTATGTATAAAATAATAATAAATAAATATATGTATATATATTCCCTTCGATCAATAGCTATTTCGATAATTTTTCGCGTCTTTCTACTTACACAAGACACACGCACACACACACTAACACACACACTCACACACACACACACGCACACACACACACACAGACACACATACACACACACACATACATACACACACATAAACACGCATGGGCTGCAGTGTGCGCTTACTATGAGAACTTTATTGTTTAATAACTTTATTTGCGGACATACGATCTTCATGAAACTTTCAGATTATGATTATAACATATGCACGGATGGATATGCACGCATTTGCCAAAGCACAAGTCTCTAGTATTTGAAATACGCCTTTTACAAATATGTGGATAAGGGGGTGGATATAGGGCTGTAAAATGTATATAAATCTACATTAAACATTTGGAGACTTTAGCTTTAAAGTTTTAGGAGATATAATTATATAACTGATTTTCGATAAGGTTTTTTATCGATAAAAAAGCAAAACTCGAAAATCAGGTCTCTAGCTCTTGTACATATCTTCTTAAATCGATGCGTTCAAACATACTGACATACGGACAGACGGACGGACGGACGGACAGACTGACGGACCGGGCTAAATCAAATGAGCTCGTCGCCCTGATCAAGAATATACATATATACTTTGTGGGGTCTGCCACGCCTCCTTCTGCCTGTTACATACATTTCAACAAAACCATAACACCCTGATTTCCCATTGAAAATGGGTTCAGTGTATAAAAAAACAAGTAAGAACGTTGCAGTCGGGTGATACCGATTGCAGAAGACTCATTCACAGCCCAAACGCTGTCAACCAGAGTATATAGTGTAATTTTCAAGTCTAGTGCGCAACAAAAAACAGGCCATTATCCCATTAAAATTGGAAAATCATCCATAGCTATTGCTATGATTATTGCAATCAAATTACATACATATATAATTTATACAATTTTTATTTTTATTTTATTTATTTATGTATATCCATATATTGGATACTGGTTTCAAGCACTAACCACAGAATGATTGTGCTTTCGTATATTTTCGTAGCCCAAACCTAAAAGTGATGACCCGAGCAAATACGAAGTGGTCTGGGAGATAACTCCCGAAAAAAGTGTGCAAAACGCTTTACACTACTTGTCCGGTCTATGTGGTCTGTGGTAAGTGCTTCAAGCTAGCAGCAGATCAGCGCGATTTTTCTATACATGTGCACACACTCATCGTCTATTCTATGCGTACAGACAGAAGCGCGCCTTTCTCACATTCTTAGAACTTCGATTGATTTCTGGACTTTCTAGCCGTTACTGTAGGTTTGTCTGATGACGCTCTCTTATTAAGCTATTCTATTTTAGCAACTGGCTAGTCAAGCAAAGCAGTGGCGCGGGTGCCAAGGCGACGCAAATTATGTTAGAGTAGGGGAGGTTCGAAACCTCTTCGATGTTATTTTTTTTTTTTCATACATATTTCGTTTTTTATAAAATAGATATTTTATTGGGAAGGTGCGAGCTTGAATGAATGGCATTAATTACTTTTGTTTTCCTTAGTCGAATATTTTAACAAGTTTAAGTTTGTTTCTTCTTAAATAGCCCTCAAATACATATACGCATATACATACATATGAATATATGGAAATATGTATGTATACATAAGTCTGCACGCATAGCAGCCTTATACATGCGCTCATTTGTATGTGTGTATGTATGTACACATAAATGGGTACTCTAGCTTATTCTAAGAATCTCAGTTGCGATTGATTTGTCTTTACGCTGGCTTTTCTTTGCTATGTGGCGTTAACAATAATGTGGTTTCGTTTTAACTACTGTTGCTCGAAACGATGCGGTGGTGCTGTAGGCAGAAGCGCCGGCGATCTTTATTTTAGATATTTTGACATGAACTTGCTATTCGGCTGGGGTGCAAGTTCAAATCCCGCGGAAAACTCGTTTTAGTAAATTGCAAATGTTTGTTATTTTAGCTTTTTTATATTTTATTAATTTTATAAAAATGTTTCCTTCCGTGTATCAATGCTTATTAAGCCTATTTATGTGTACTAATACATATGTTAATAGATGACTGATGCATATAAATGCCGCAATATGGGCACTATAAATGCCGATTGCCACGCCCCTAGTGGCCGTAGACTCCTCATTTTTGGCCAGTTCTGAGAACGAGCAACCTGTAACCTAAATGCAAAATTTGAATTTTTACACTCAAAAAATGTGAAAATTACAGGGTATTTTTCGATATGCCATGCCCCTAAAGAGGCTTAAAAATTTGAAGCATCTAGCTCATAAACCCCTATGGGCGGACATATATCTACTATAGCTCGTTGGACTTGGGTGGTCTCTCTCGATGTTCTCGATGCACGCACATGTAAAGACAGGTATACAAATGCTTCTATCCCATAATTGTGAGCATCGCATCCCATGCATACACACAATAAATGTATATACATACACACATACATATGTATGTGAGCACTTCACAAGATCGACCAAATGCAAATGCTGGGATTTAAAATTGCTATAGGCAGCAAGAGCTTCGCAGTGCTGCAAATTTAGTTTTTTTCCCGTAAAATCTGGCATTTTCCGAAGACCAATTACGGGAAATATTTAGGAACTGCGGGAAGCGGGAATTCTGGCTTCTTTTTTTTTTAAATGAATTAGGCTTTTTTCGCTTTTTTAATACTGCCACCAATTTCATGAAAACATGTAGCAGCACGGTTGCCACTTGTAAAAAAAAGTTGGGTATTAAAATCTACCATTTTTAATAAATCTGTGAAGAAGTTTGGTAAAAATATACCAAATGTGTCTAAGAGTGACAGCTTTATTATACGTTTATATCGATATTCGCCAATATCACCACCACTACTTTACACAAACTGTGATCACAATAAGGGGGATTTTTTCGTCTACAAATTTCGCCATGTCAAAGGAATATAAGCAAAAGTGCCATGATGCAGGCCTTGAACAAGAAATTCGTGCTCGCTGCTCTTATTTTGTGATTGAACTTATCAAGGAGCTAAAGCAGAGGTAACCAATTTGTCAGATACTTCTACCGACCGTTAAATAATTTTGATTTTATCTGCAGGCTCCCCGACAATTTTAAAATTTTAAAAAACATTGACGTTTTTTCCGTTGACAAAATTCTGTCAACTAAAAAAAAGAAATCACAGAATTGTTAGAACACCTCCAAGTAGACAGTATAGCCAACATCGGTAGTACTATGATATTAATCTAGTTAAGTGGGAAAACGTCAATGACAACTCCAAATTTTGGAATGAAGTACAAGGATTCTGGCGGCAACCGCAGATTCCTTGACTTGGCAGCTGTTGCCCTGCAAATGTTTTCTTTACCATGGTCCAACGCGGAGGTGGAACGCGTATTTAGCCAGCTTAACTTGGTAAAGTCCAACTTAAGGAACTTAATGAGCCTAAGCACAATAAACAGTATTCTTAGCATAAGGTAATATTTTATTGAGAGTGAAAAGATGATACCGATTTATATATTACTTTTTTATTTAATATAACACACATATATGGTTTGCGAAGACTGGGCAAATGCTGCTATGAATACAAAGTTCCTCAAAGTTATCTTCGCATGATCAAACCATAAAAACCGTTTTTTTTACGTTTTTTTTGTAAGCCATCCGCTTTTCAGCTTTTTTTTCCCGTTTCTTCCATCTAAACCAGCTTTTTTTTCTGGTAAAAAGTTGGCAGCACTGTAGTACACGTAGCTACTGTAAGATGTATGTGTGTGTATGCTCGTCGCGAAAACATTTTTATTATGCGCACCAACCCATTCATACCCTTCCCACAAACAATAACGAAAACGCAAACATTCTGCACGAGCATGGCAAATGGCTTGAAGAGTTCGGAAGTTCTTGCTGCGACGAAATTTCAATTTTCGTGAGCTGCTGCTTGTGCCCACATGCATACATACATATCAGTGATGCCAATTTTCCCTTTTTTCGGACAGATCTGTCCTGCTTTTAATGGCTTCGTCCGGAAATTAATCAAACATCCTCTATTCGGAAATCTGTCCTTTTTTTGTGAATGCGAATCGTGTTCATATTTCCCCAGTTGGTTGGTTGTTTTTACAGTTGATCGGTTGTGGATGCAACAGATTTCTATTAATTAACATTGCCAACCAGTTGATCAGAGCTTTAGCATAAAATATATTAAATTTTGTACCGATATTTGTTTAAGAACAGTGCCAAAATGAGTATAACAGTGATAAATTGAATTGCTTAGATGCCTTGTATGTATTATCGATATCGGTTTTAATTGCTTTTTAAATTGTGCTCCATGCGAAAAGTGTAATAAAATGCTCAAAGAAACGTATAGGCAAAAATTTCGGGATTGCTGGCTACAACAGCCAAATTTTAAGTCGTGGATAGCCCGCGATGAAGACGACTATAAGGCGTACTGCAGAATCTGCAAATGCAGTATTAATTAGCAGGTTATGCTGCAATAACTACAAATTGCCAGAAGAGATTTTGGCGCGTATTGGATCGATGGCCACATACGAGGCTAGTGAAGAGGACATGGATTGCATACTTGACAATGCCTTGAAATGTTTGGAATAAAAAAGAAAAAAACAAAAATTAACAAAAAACAATATTTTGTCCTGTTTTCTGTCCTTTTTATATCCTGAACCCATTGAAAATGGGAAATCAGGGTATAATGGTTTTGTGAAAAAGTATATAACGGGCAGAAGGAGGCGTGGGAGACCCCACAAACTATATATATTCTTGATCAGCGCAACGAGCTGAGTCGATATAGCCCTGTCCGTCTGTCCGTCCGTTCGTTCGTATGAGTGCGTCGATCTCAGAAGTTATAAGAGCTAGAGAGCTGAAATTTGGCATGCATATTCGTGTGTACCATACGCAGTACGAGTTTGTTTTAATTTTTCGATAACTCATCCGATAACTTTTTTTATCAAGAATAATCGAAAAATTGATTTTGTTTTTTTAGCCTAATTTGAACACTTTTAGACCTGGAGTCTTCAAATTTGCGTTGTATATAAAGTTAATAGATACAAAGATTTTGTAATTTACAGATTTTGGATACCACGCCCCCTTCTCCCCCAATTTGTAAAAAACGCATTTTAAGTACTAGAGACTTGTGCTTTGGAATGTTCACACATATTCACCATATGATTACGCTCTGTTTCATTAAGATCGTATGTCTACAAAAGAAATTATTCAACAAATAAATTCTCATAATATTGCGCACACTGCAGCGCAGCCCAAGCGCAGTCGCTGCTGACTGCGCAGTTAGCAGAGTGCAGGCTTATGCGTGCGTGTGGATGCATGTGTTTTTGTATGTGTGCATAAAAGAAGTGCAGAATGATTAGAATATCAGCCTAGAAGGTTCAGGGTATCTCCTAGTCGAGCAGTCTCGACTGGAGCCTTCTTACTTGTTTTTTTTTTTTTTTAATTTTCAGCCTTTTTTTTCGTATTTTCCGGACAAATTTTTTTTTTTCCAAAAAAAATTTGGCTTCACTGATATATATACATATTTGAGAGAGGAGAGAGCATCGAGAGAGAGAGAGAGAGAGCAAGGGAAACTTTCAGCGAAAAAAGTGTGCAAAACGCTTTACACTACTTGTCCGGTCTATGTGTTCTGTGGTTAGTAATACAACTTCAAAACGGATTTTCTATAAGGTTTTTTATCGATAATAAAATAACGGGATGCGTTATCGATTTTAAATGATAAGCTCGATATCCACGTATATACGGAAATTTTAAAAAAATTGCTCTAGCTCTTATATCTTCTGAAATCAACGACAGGCGGACAGGGCCAATTTGACTCAGCTCGTCGCCCTAATCAAGAATATATTGTATGTATATACATACTTTGTGGAGTCTGCCACGCTTGTTTCTGCCTGTTACAACATTTCAACAAAACCATTATACTCTGATTTCCCATTTTCAATGGATTCCGGGTATAAAAAAAAAATTTAGACCATAGTGCAATATAAATAATCTTAATGTCTGCACTTGCCATTCACCACGAGGAACAAATACTCATTTCGAATATGACAGTATTTTACAATATTTTCACTCCTAAGTCGAGTGCATAAACAACTTGATCTAACAAATTGTAGTATACATAGTGTTTTTGCTTATAAATTAGTCCTTTTACTTCTGAAATTCTCTTAAAGTAGTATCACTGACCAAAGAACACAGTGGTCTTTGGTCAGTGGTAGTATACAGATTTTTCAAATAATCGATAATAATAAGATTTTGAAGAAATAGGCACTATGGTCACACAGTCGCGGCGAATTTAGAAATGATAAACGATGTCTGTATTTGTGTTGTGTGGGTGTGGATTTATTTCACGGAATAAAAATTAATAAAGCTATGTAATTTGTTATCAAAATGTGCTCTAATAACTGTGTTAATGTTGTTGAGTTAGATTATGTTGTGCTAAAGGTAAGTTTAAATTGCAAAAAATCCGAAACCAGACAACTGCACACAAATGTATAAACGATTTCAGCCATAGAGAATCATGCATGCGTGCAGCATTGTGCAGGCTTGTTCATTCTCACATTTGTTTTCAATTACTGCAATCATTACAGTTAAATGGCAGCGACATTACATCATTGTCTAGTTATGAGGCGGTTCAAATGTTCCTTCAAGCTAAAGAAACCCTAGTAGTTGAATTATGCCGAAAGCGAAATCCCGTCACCTCCGGAGACCTGCAGAAGGACGATATTTGTTCAAGAGTAAAAAATGTTCAAGTATCTAATGCAAAAGCAACCAGTGCCTCAGAAAATATTAATTTCAATTCATTGCCGATGCCACCTCTATCATCAGTGTCAGCTGAAAATCAAATTATTTTAACTTTACGAACATTTCAAAACAGCGATCAAACCGAACCAGTATCGAAGGAGAAAAAAACGAATGACAAGTTTGTTGCATTCAATAAAACTAACAAAAAATTCAATCATAACGAAAATATTGCGCAAACAATTGCCGATCATTTTATTGAGCAAGAGCATCATCTGTTTGAGCAGTGTTTGGAGCCAGAGATAGACATCGAGGTAAGTTTTAGTGCATGAAGAAGTATTTTTATAGAACATATGATTTGCAGGAGGTAACACTCGTGAAAAATGATTCAACTAACGATGAAATTGGACTCACTGTGTCCTGCAATAACTTCTACAGTATCAGGGACTGCGAAGAGAATATTATTAATCCTGTGATATGCAACAAGAATGCAGACTTAATAAGAGATGACGCGGACGCTAATACTGACGCTGATGTCGATGCTGACGCTGATGCCTGTGATGACGTTTTCATAAGTGATATACAGCCAGAGAGCTTGGCTGAGCGCGACGGTCGACTCCGTCGTGGCGATCAAATTCTCCGCATTAATGGCATAGACATCAAGAGTAAAAAACATGCCGAAACGCAAATAGCTGAAAATACTTCGTCTGTTACATTGCTTGTCAGTCGAGTTCTATATCCCGTAAGTACTTAGAATGATATATATAACATCATCTGATATTCACTTTTCATTTAAAATGGAGGATGACGACGATGATATCGATGAGGATGATGAAGAAATCGACAGTAACTTTGATTATGCCAACAGCATTCTATCTGATGAATATACAAATGTCGTGGACAAATTGGATAAACTACTCGTAACGCAGCAACGGCAAACAAGCGATAACAATTTAACAGCAGAATCTGCGGCAAAACCTATTAAATCTATTTTACCAGCAACTTTCAGTGGATCGCAAACGATGTCCGAAAAGTCGAAAAACAAAGGACAAACTCAAACTAGTGTCACAGAAAAGTTGTACATTGGCAATGTGCAAGGAATGAGCCAAGAAACGGGCTTTAAACCAATCATAGACAAAAGCCTGCGAACAACAATAATTAGTAAAGAATATGATTATGATGATTGCGAGCATATTTACGAAACAATTCCCGAGGATTCTGAATCAGAACCCCTCTATTGCTCACCATATCAAAGCTCGAACTATATGACTGCAATGGGATCTTGCTCGTCAAGAATGATGGCAGAATCGGATGTTTTAGAAATGCAACAGCAAACGCAACGTGTAGCCCAATGGTTAGGGATTAAATCTCAGCTTAATGCAAGATCCGTTCATACGATGGCTGGCCGTCCAAGCTTATATCATAAGCAACAACATCGAATATCGAATAGAGTTTATACGCTACGCAGTGCTATAACAAACACCAGTGAATCAAGCAGCAGTGGAGCTAACTGTAGTGCAACTAATGGTGACAACGAGAATAAATGTATAAACCAACAGCAGGAAGAGGTAGAAAATTCTTCAAGTGCCTATAATACGGGTGGCTCCAATAACAGTGCTTCGCCTCACCAAAATGCCATAAATTTAGAGATCGAACCAATTTCACTTTCAGCGGCAACTGCAAATACAACTCCTAACAACCCTATAACCTCGTTTCAACCCGTTTTGCTACCATTTATAAAATCTGGCCGTATAGTCTGTTCCCAACACAATTCCGGTACGTATTAGCTCTAATTGAGATTAACATATTCAATTACATAAACACTAAGAATTACAATTTACTCATTATTTTTTAGAAACTGTTGCACTAAATAAAGCATCAGCCGACGAGCTGCATCCTTTCGCATCAACAACTGCTAAAATAGACGCTAAAACAATGCGACCCAAACCAAACGAGGAACAGCAAAGCCCATGCCCGCAATTTAACGCTCCCAACTTGAGTCGCTATCATTTTGTTAGCAGTCAAGAGGTAAACACTATTGTAATAATATAAATAATGTAATACCTATATGGATGATCATAATGAACGATAGTTTTGTAGGTACGAAATATCGTGGTATTCATTTATCACAGAAATCGTTAAATATTTAAAAAACGGTTCGAAACATAATAAAAATATAAAATGGAAATAGTGGATTAATTAATACATAAGAATCAAATAAAAGACATAACTTAAGAAAAGAAATTTAAATTGTTAGGAAGTAGAGGCTTATAATACGAAAAATTTAACTATATATGAATCATCAAATAGAGGGAAAATGAAGAATGCGCCGAAGAATACGGTTTATTATTATTTTCACCTCATCAAAAAGAATAATATAGAATGGTAACTGAAATTCAAAAACCAAATTTTAAATTTAAGTTTGGATGATAGATATTAATATATTTTTGGATGTAGGAAGTACGAAATGTGTAAATCAAAGCATAGATCTATCTTTATTGTAGACATGCAGCTTTAATTAGGTTTTCTTATGCAGTAACGTCTTGAATTTCAATATATTAAATTGTGCTGTATTTTCTTTAACTAGGTCGCAAATAAAACTCTTACCACACCAAAGACAAGCTCTATTTTAGGAGAAAATGTCTCGGAGGAAATTCCAATGGTGTGGAAAGTAAAGCGGCGTCCAGATGGAACCAGATATATAGTTAAACGTCCAGTACGTAATATGAGCATGGGTATACGTAAAAATATACGTAACAACGAAATAACAACAACTGAGGATGATACAATATCAGAGGTTAAGATCGGACGTTACTGGACTAAGGAAGAAAGGAAACGACATATAGAACGTGCACGCGAACGTCGACATCATCAGCAATTGCTCCATCAACAGCAACAACAACAATTTCCCACACAATGAAGTATAAAGTGATTAATTTTAATGATTTTCCAGCCTGGAAACATCACATTCAATTTGATGCGTATGCGTATATGTATCCAAGATTACGGGTTTCAAAAGCATCGCAAATAAAAGTTATATCTATATTATCGAATTTCAATATGGATACGATATAAAATGTATTATAAACTTAAAAAGCTCATTGAAATAAAACCAAAAAACGAAAATGATCTTAAACACCCACAGAAACTACTTTTTAAAAGTCGTCAAAGCCACTTTTGAGGTAATTATTGATGAGTGCTTCGTGTTAGTATTATTGTATCTAACCAATTCCTTTTAATATTAATATCCCCCAATAGTGCTAACCGTATGTTTGTAAATAAATAAAACTTAAAATGACCTTGTTATTATGCTGGTTTATATTCGATCATGTCATTTTTAGAGTATATAGAGTGACATGTAGTTTTTTTTATGAATAATTGAATAATTGAATGTGTAATGTGTAATGAGTCGAAAGTGAATATTTCAGACAAGCGTTTATGAAATAATTATAATAGCGTCTTCCGGGTATAACAACGGTCCCTGGCGCGGAGTATTTATAACCGGATTCTACTGTATATGTAATTGGTATGTCTTTCTATATTGAGCCGTTATAAACGTGTAGAGCTTTTCCTTTTTTTACCCTGAACCCATTGAAAATGGGAAATCAGGTAATCAGGTTTGGAATGGAAGGAATCATCGCAGACCCCATAAAGTATATATATTCTAGACCAGCACGACGAGCTGAATCGATATAGCCCTGTCCGTCCGTATGACTGCGTCGATCTCAGAAGTTATAAGAGCTAGAGAGCTGAGATTTGGCATACATACTCGTGTTTACCATACGCAGTACAAGTTTATCATATTTTTTTTTGATAACTCATCCGATAACTTTTTTATCGAGAATAATCGAAGAATTGATTTTGTTGGTTTTTTTTTCAGCTTAATTTGACCACTTTTAAACCTGGAGACTTCAGATTTACTGTGTGTATGTATACCTTAGATGAATACAAAGATTTTGTCATTTACAGATTTTGGACACCACGCCCCCTTCGCCCCCAATTTGTAGAGAACGTATTTAAAGTACTAGAGACTTGTGTTTTGGAATGTACACACATTTTAGCCATGCTCTAAAATTTCATTAAGTTTGTCCGTCTACAAAAAAAAATATTCAAATAATAAATTCTCATAATTTTGCCCACATTGCAGCGCAGCCTCTGCTTACTGCGCAGATAGCAGAGTGTGGACGCATGTGTATGTATGTGTGCATAAAAGAAGTGCAGAATGATTAGAATATCAGCTTAGACGGTTCAGGGTATCTCCTAGCGTGCAGTCACGACTGGAGCCTTCTTACTTGTTACTGCTTGTATATGTGTTGCACGCGCTGATGTACGCTTTGCCAACTGAGCAAGTCTGCGCTGCAACATGTTGGACCATGTTGTAGCTGTGTACAGTGTATGTACACATAGGAGAGAGCAGTCTGCTGTGTGCTCTGTACATTTTTCATTCTGTTAACAGTTTCTGTATCTTTGACGGTCTTTACATGTTCAAATTACATATATGTTAATTTGTGGAGCCGGCAAAAATTTACTTTGTAGCCGGCAAAAAAAAATAGCAGATTAAATTATATTTGATAAAAGCGTTAAAAAAAGACCCGAACCTTAAAATTTCAGTTTGGTTTGTTGTTAATTAAAAACAATAAAATTTGCTCATTTATAAATAGTGCTGTCTAACTTGTTTGTGAATTTTATATCCCATTCGAGGCGTGGCTGAGATCCTACTGTATATGTATGCAGATACGATGCATGTGCATGTGTGTACGAGTCAGTATTGATATGTGTGCGTGCTATCATACAGTTCCCAACCCTTAAGATAGAGAAATTCATTTTACTGCATTCGATATTTTCCGGATGAGAATCGAAACTAAAACGAATGTTTCTGTAAAAAGATTACTTAGGTGTTATTTTCTAATTTTGTAAATTATGTACACATACATTTTAGTAAGGATGCGAGCGCTAGAGCTGAGAGCGGTTATAGGGTGAGTGACACGCAGGCCTAATGTTAGTTAGGGGTTGTTCCGTCCAAAAGAGAACGTAAGTTTGTACGGCTCGAACATATTCGTAACTACATATACATTTGTATGTACATATGTGTATATATTTTAATAAGAATATCTATATGTGCGTTGCGTGAGCAACGCGGCTTAAACAGTAAAACGGCTGAACTCCTAATAGTGAATAGTTAAATCATTTTTGGGTGTTTTTCATAGGATTAAGTGTGATTAAATTACAATTAAATTCGAAATACATGTACAACTTAGATGCAGATATATACATATATATATATATATATATATATATATATATATATATATATATATATGTGTGTGTGTGTGTATGCACGAATGACATGCCTATACCCATACAAAGTAAAACACCGACACAGAATAGTATGCGTGTATGTATACCAAATGCAATTCAGTATTTCTGTCTATTGCAGAAAAGGGAATTCAACTTCTGCGGAAACAATGCCTAATCATTGATAAATTCCATTCATCACTCGCGACAAATATACAAGTTAATGCACATCTAAAGTATTAACATATATACATAAAATGCATAAATTACATCATGAATGCACGAGTGCTGGCGTTTATTTACCGTTGCTTATAAAATTCCCGTTTCGTGCAGATAAAATCATAATAATTCAGAAAGAAACATTTAAATATCAAATATAATGAGATATTTTAATCGCATATCGTATCAGAGACAAATTGATATACCGAAGTGAGTTCATCAATGATGGCTATAGCCTAGTCGACCCGACATCTAATATAAATATTAATAATAAACTTCATCGGCAATATCATCGAGTGAGCGGGAAGTTGTGATTTGGGACTGTAATAGTTAATTTTCCTCGTCGTTAACGGTGCCGCAGGCGGTCTTAATTTATACATTATTCGCACACAAAGATAGTACCTTTACATCTCCAGTTACTAATAATTGTTCGCTAATAATGTCTGCTAATGCTTCTGCGGCCATACAAATTACACCTCAAATACTTAATGATATTAACATGACAGACTCAATTCACAAACTCAATCAGACTCACGCACGCAATCAAATGATTGAGCAGCAAAAGGTGCACACGATTCCATTGCCTGAAGACCCGCGAACATTGCAGTTGGCATTGGAGCTCTCCTTGGTGGGCCTCAATGAGAGTAATCAAAATAATAGTTATGCTCAGCCAATACTCGCACAGAGTGATTATGATATCGGCGACATTAATGTGGTGTCTGGCGCATTCAACAGGACCGATGTTGGGCCCATGAACAATCTACCGCTACCACCGACGACTGCATCTGGGCTTTTAATGCCCTCCGTTGGCCTGGAAGAAAGATCAAAGAAGTCACAAAATATGACCGAATGTGTTCCAGTTCCCAGTTCCGAACATGTTGCTGAAATCGTGGGACGCCAAGGTAAGGAACCGGCATACATATTGCCCACTATATTAATTAAACTTGTCTTCCTGGGACTAACTGCATTGACTGACTGACTGGATTAATTCAGTATGTTCCTAAAATGTACATTATCATTAATTCATTATTTTCCTAAAATTTCATCATAGTTTATGATGAAACAGGAATTGATCCGCTTTGGCGTCGAAGGCTCAGAAAAAGCTTCAAAGATGTTAGAAATATAGTCTGATTCTTGGTTACAAAATTGAATCATATTCTATGGGTTAAACTAATGGTTTATGCAAATTAGATTATGGTTAATATAGATAAACAAATAAATTTAAGCAATTATATAAAGCCTAATACACACTGCTATAATGATTTTTTTTTTAAATTATTTTTTAGGGTGCAAGATAAAAGCTTTAAGAGCAAAAACAAATACCTACATCAAGACTCCAGTGCGTGGAGAGGAGCCAGTATTCGTTGTAACAGGACGCAAAGAAGATGTAAACAAGGCCAAACGCGAAATACTTTCAGCTGCTGATCACTTCAGCTTAATTCGAGCCTCACGGAAACCATCAATAGACGGATCGAACAGCGGGATAAGTGGAAGTGGCAAATCGGGTTCATTGGCTGTGGGCATTGTTGCTAGGGCGCAGTCTGGGCCGCCCTGCTTGCCCGGCCAAATCACAATTCAGGTGCGTGTACCTTACAGAGTCGTGGGCCTAGTTGTTGGGCCGAAAGGTGCCACCATTAAGCACATACAACAAGAAACACAAACATACATTGTCACCCCGTCTCGTGAAAAAGAACCCATATTCGAGGTAACTGGACTACCCGAAAATGTGGAGACCGCACGCAAACAAATCGAGGCTCATATAGCCCTACGTACGGGCAATAGCGCTCATGGCAGTGAAAGTGGTACGGAAACCTTAGAGTCACACGAATACGCTACTCTGCACACGATTAATACGCTCAGCCAGATACTAAATGACGATCTTAACTCAGATATCTTGTCATCAATCTATACAAGCGATATTGCACCCAGCATTAATTACGTAGACAACTCTCATAGTGTCATTGATAATATTTCAAGTTCGAGCACTGCCAATTCTATCATGCCAGTGCATAATTTAACGAAATGTTTTCAAACTTCTGATATAGTAGATCTCACACCTAATGTAACTTCAACAACAACAACGGACAGAAACTTAACACTGACACTATCGAGCACTGTAATTGACCATAACGCGCAGGCCTCAAAATCCAATTCATTATTCCGCAATACAAATACCAATATCAATGCTAGTCTAAATGCAAATGCCAATGTCATTGCCAATAGCGCCAACACCAATACCAGTGCAAATGCCAGTGCCAATACCAACACCAACAGTAATAATACCAAATCGTTGTCATTCTGTCCACCCACGTCCGCCTCTGCAAATATTTCATCTGGCTCTTGTCAATCAATCTCAACTAACATATTAACGCGTTCATGCTCATCTGCCTCCTCGACTGCATCAACTAAAAGCACAAACAACAGCGCCAATAGTACTAACAGCGTTAATACTCCTCCAGAGCTGTTGAATATATGGAAAAAATTGAATGATGCAATTGACGTTGATGAGGGCATTGGAGACTCTCCCAGCATTTGGAATCTTCCATCAACCACAACAACTACAGCGGCATCCCATTGCTCGCCCACGGCCTCAATTAGTCCAACGGACTCGCTGCTAGGGGA